CACTTGATTTCATTGTGGGATTGCCAGTTAATGATACAAATGTCAGTTCTTTTCACCCAGTTCTTTACCTCAGTTTTGAGACAATAACACTTGTTAAGTTCCAACCAGTTTTAACTTTCCGGTACTTTCTGTGCTTGCACACTGTCAGAAGGCGTGAAAAAGTTATAGTATTGAACCGAGGGTCTTTGTAACTGCTGTTGTGTGTTTATGGGGATGCTGATGGTCAGTGGCTGAAAGGAAGTCCAGTCTCAATTCATTTCAGTTCATTTATAAAGCACCAAGTCCCAACAGAAGTCGTCCCAGGGCAGTGGGCACTGTACAAAAACATTCTCATTATAAAAGCCAATTGATAAAAGTTATCTGTCTAAGGAAGCCAGCCCATTGCGATGAATCAACAAACTGATGAACTGTAAAATCAGACATTTGCAAAACACCTGATCGGTTTAAGAAACCGTAGGAAGCGTCTGGTTAAAGTGCACCAGCTTTATTTGAAGTGTCATGTAGTAACTCTGTTATTTAGAAATATGTTCTGTAGTTTCTGTTATTGACTCATCCTGCTGTAGGATTGTATAAAGGCCCATTGAAGACCTTTGCAGTCTCGTGTTATGTCTCATTTTATCTCTGCCCATCAGATTGGCTGATTCAGGCTAAAGACCACTGGTATTTGTTGTTAAATATTATTGAACTGGGGGTCTTTATAACGGCTGTTATCTGTGTTTATGAGCTATAACTGACTGACATTGGCCGACAGGACATCCACTGTCCAATAAAAGACCGTAACCAACAATAAAACCAGTTATCTGTTTAAGAAACCTTCAGAAGCATCTGGTTTATAACCCAAATGCAGAAGAGATTTGATCTGTACCAACCTTTGTTATGTAGTAACTCGATGTGTTTTTATTAAACCGTCTTCTTGTATAAGTGTTCATTTTGACCTTTGCAGTCTTGTGTTCGGCCTTTTTTTTTTTTTTTTTTTCAGATCAGATTAGCTGACTTAGGCTAAAGGCCACTGGTTTTCATGGTAAAGCTGCGGTCTAGACCTTAACATATGTTAATAAAGTTGAGGAGTCACAGTTTTGGTTTTTGAGTGTTGGAGGTGCATATGTTACTTTTCATTCAACCTTTATTTATACTGGTTAGTCTCATTGAGTCACGAGGACTCATTTACAAGAGAGGCCTGATATAACATTCATGTGTAGCCTGTTTTTGAGTTATTAGCTTGTGACATAATGGATCATGTGTGTTAAATAATATTGGTTTTGTTTTTATATCACAACTCATGTTTTTAGACATTTTCTTAATCAAAAATGGAATTAAAGGATTTCTTTTAACTTGAAGTACTCTGTGATTTCAGTACTGTCTGCATAGGATCATTTTGAATTGGGCTGACTCGAAAACTTAATCCGTTGTACATCCAATGATTACCTTTCTGAAAACTCTGTCCATTGGTTAATCTGATATTTTGCTAATCCACACACAGAGGAAATAAACTAATTGCCACCTTTTTGTGGTGGCAGATGATTTTAGTGAAAAATACACCAAAGCTAACGACAGATAAAGTAGATTCAAGTTGCAGGTCTTCTGAATAAACAGAATAACGACTGTTTGCTGTTTGACTTGAGCTTTAATCACAGGATGACCCAACATGCCTCGTTTATCATGAGCTTTCATGAAAGAATGTCACAAGATCATGACTGACCAGTGGTGTGATCTCACTTATTTGTGAACAAGTAAAAAAACGTACTGTTGCTCCTGAATGAGGTGCTTTCACTTGCATCAGTGCTGCTCGGTATAAGCAGGCAACACAGTTTGATTGACTCATTTCTTAGGCAATTCTTATTTATTTATTAACCTTTATTTAACCAGGCAAATCCCACTGATATCACAGATCTCTTTTGCAAGGGAGGCCTGGACCTGCAGGCAGCCTAACATGCATGTGTTTGTTTTTTTAAATCCTGAAGGGATTTAAATTTTCATATAAAGAACGGATGAATAAATTGTTATAGCTTCATTACTGCCCGTTCACAAAAAAACAACTCAAGAATCAAAAGCTCTATATAAAAATAAAATTAAATGAGTTTGCAGTTAGCCACCTGTTGTCTGATATGATGCTGTTTACCACATTATTTTAGATTGGACTGGTTGCACAAGTTGCTTTGAAATGGAATTAGATGATTTTATCCTGTAGTACTTTCATTCAAAGTATTGTTAAAGTATTGTGTGACAGTTTTACCCTCTAAGCCCTCAATCTAATTGTTCCAACACAGTTATCAATATGGTTTATGCAGAAAATAAATATACCCAATAAACCCAACCTTTGAACTGAAAGTGCTGGAAAGGATAACGTCTCCTCACATGTCCGAACAAGCCATGCAGCGTGAAATGTACATAAAACATACAAACACAAGCTGCTTTTTCAGCTCATGGTAAAGATCCTTCTTTCATGCTCTCACCGTCCAAAGATTCAAATTATTTTTATTTTCTCTGCTAATAAATAAATATTATACTCCCATTAATCCCCAAAAGGTAAATTTAAGTCTGGATTTTCACCATCACACATGTAAGCATGGAGCAGAGAGCTGCCATAAGGTACCTGGGGAGCAGCTAGGGGGTTAACCTTGCTCAAGGGCCCAGAGTGGAGCAATTGAAGGTGGAGGCAGGTGTGGGTGCTTCCACCTTTCCCACCCTCTGAGGATTTGAAAGAGTAGAGAGTCTTAAACCGCAGTGAATAAGTGTGTGATGAAAGTGAATGAATGCAGCTCCTGTGGAGAGCGTCACAGTATATGATCTAATCTTCAGAGGGCAGCGGTTGTAGCTGCCGCTGGTTTCAGATCTGCTTTGAAAGATGCTGCTGCCATCATGTGGAGCTGATTTGTTGTGTCACAAACTTCCAGCGCTCTGTTCAACAAAAATGAGCTCTTCCCAGTGTTGACCTTACAGATGGATCACAGTGAAAACCAAGAACTGCGTTTTCTCATGAATCAGATGGCACCTTAAACACCTTGAAGAGTCCGCTAAAATAAATGTATCAAAACTTTGATTACAATTTACAGAAATGAGTCCTGTTTAAAGTGAGAACAGGAAAGAGTTGCTTTAGAAGATTTGAGGTCGGTATGTATGCAATATGTACATATTTACATCTTCTTCTTTCAGCTGGTCCCTTTTCATGGGTTACCACAGTGAGTCGTCATCACTCCATCACTCAATAACAGGCGGGTGGGGGTGGGGGGGTCATTTTACCGCCTCCTCAAGTGTCCCACGCCACCTACACTGATCGACTGACAAAAACAATTTTAAAAAGTCCTTCCTGTTTTCACTGTCTCCAAATGTAGTTGACACCTCATTTAATTGTCATACATGTCAAGTCTTAAGGATTTTTCATAAATTATACAGATTTTTCCCGACTAAGAACGTACAGAAAAAGTCTTCAGGATTTTTCTTAAATGCTGCTTCAAATTTATTTTACGTCTCAGAGCCGGCCCGTAAGCAAACGCTAAGGTCACCCCCTCCTCCTCCTTGTCCTCCTCCCTTGCTGCTTATTCCTTTTAATCAGTGGTGTAGTCTACGTGATACGCAGACACACGGAGTATACCCACTATAAAAGCTTAAGAATTTCAGTATACCCACTTAAAAGCACCCAGTGATGCATGACATATCATTAGGCACATGTCACTGATACGATGAATGGAAGTTAAACGCTTCCATAACAATCTATCTGTATGCAGCGCTTGTTTATTACATTGGCTTATCCAACAAATTATTGTATACCTTAATTCTGTACTTACTACTTAATACTTGAACATATTTTGCTTTGATACTGTTGTAAATTCTATAACAAATTTTTAATGCAAAGACAACTGTTGTACAAAGTTTGTTGTACATTTATTCAAACGTAAGCATCAGAGAAATTTGAAAATGTTCAATTTGCTTAAAAATCTAAACAAATTGATGATTGCATTGTACCAACGAGTGCACTTTGGTTTCTAAGCACAGTATACCCACTACAAAAAAGTATACTACCCAGCTTCTTTTAATGCATTATAAAGCCTGGTCTGGCCTGGAACGGCCAAGCTGACCCAGCCTGGTCTTCCCCAGCTCTGGCTTTGTTTGGTTTCAGCAAAGAGTGCTGCCTCGAAGTGAGCAGGATTGTCATAGCAAGGCTGTAAGATTCTCAGCTCAGCAATAACCATACTTGATCGTTTTTTGAGGACACTGGTGATATCTTTTGCATTGCCATTTTTTCCTAAAGAAAAAAGGAGCTCTCTCTATCATGCATCTGTCCCGAAGCAAATGGCTGAAGGAAATGGTGGCAAGGAGCAGTCGCTGGCCCACCTCTACTCTTCTTTTTCTTTCATTCTCTTCATTCATTAGCTCCTCAAAGTACTCCTTCCATCTTCCCATCACACTCTCCTCACTTGTTAGAATATTACCATTCCTTTCTTTAACAAGCTTAACTTACTGCACATCCTTTCCATCCTGATCCCTCTGTCTCGCCATTGCCGACAATGGAGGAAGGGGCGTGGCAAAGAGACCATCTTAGCACCAACAGAATTGGTTTGTTCCACTTTGGAGTAAGCTGTTGGGGGGGTAGAATCAGTTTTGTGTTGTGTGTTTCCTTGACTGATGAAGCCTTCTGGATCGAAGGCGAAAAGTTTCAGCACAAAAAAAGAAAGTGTCCAGATGACCTGACTGAAAAATGTTGGATATTTAGAAAAGATTATAAATTCAAATTCAAACATACTTTATTAATCCCAAAGGGAAATGAATTGTTGTTGTAGCTCATTATCCTGGTTTCATTAGAGTTGTTATAGACACTGATGGCTTTGGGCAGGTAGGATCTCTTGTAGTGGTCTGTCCCACAGCGGATCAGAAGAAACTGGCTGCAGACACCGATCCGTCCTCCCAGATTCCAAAGAATCAGCTTTGATTGCTGTAATAAACCACTCTGACCAAAATATTAGTAGTCACTAACCTTCGTTATCTTCTGTCCTCCTCTGCAGGTCATCACCTGTTTTGGCCTCTCCGTCGTCTCATGTCGCTACATCGGCTTCGCCGTGGTGGCCCTGTTGGTGGAGCTCAACTCCGTGTTCCTTCACTTCAGACAGATCCTGCGCATGGCCAACATGGCGGCGAGCACGCTTCACCGCGTCAACAGCATGATCAACCTAGGCACGTACGTGGTCTTCCGGATCAACACGCTGGCCTGGATGACCCGCTGGCTGGTGCTCAACAGGGACAATGTGCCTCTCCTGGCGTACACGCTGGGCAGCGTGGGAATGGCCATCATGACAGCCATGAACATCATCCTCTTCTGTCGGCTGCTCAGGAGCGACTTTTTAAAGAGCAGCATGAGGGAGGCCAAGAAGGAGAAGGAGACGTAGAGCTCCTCGTTTACACCCTGCGGCTGAGACGTACTCCTGTGTGTAGATGGACGTGTTCATGTCTGCAGGTACACGCACCGTGTAAGAGGACTCAAACAGCCTCACTTTAAACTCCGAGCGCACGTCTTTTCTGTAAAACCTTCCTGTCAGCTGCAGGTGCAGAACAATACGAGGCCTTTAACGACACCATTCGCCTTATTGTCCCGCTGGGTGATAAAGTGAGGACACATTCCTCATACAAACCTTCTGCCTCCGCTTGAGCAGAAACAAAAATCAAATATCTTCAGCTACATCATGATACTTTATTTTTTATAATGTGGTGTTATTTTTATTTACCGCCAAGCTAAACCTTTTTGTTGTGTGACACTCGCACTGCAGACACGTTTACAGCAAAATCACCTCGACTAAAAACCGCCTGCTACCTCAGATTCTGCTCCAGTTTTTTTTTTTTTTTTTTTTCTCATTCCCATTTTGCTGATGGTATTTGGCATTTGGTTAGTTAAAACAAATGTAATATAAAGTAAGCAGAGAAAACACTACAGGAGTATAAAACCTTACTTTGATCAATTCTTTGAAGAAGGCTCTAAATGAAGCAGATTTTAATTCACGATCAGTTCATGAAGGGCATTCATCTAACGAGTTAGAGCAATTTTATGGTTTGTTTTACATATTTAAACAAAAGACTTTAGGATGATAAATTAGCTGTAGCAGGCTTATTATTATATATGATGACAAAGTTCAGTCCTACTTCCTGTACTTATAAAATCACAGATCTGGTGTGTTTGTCTGTCAGCTTCTGCACACTGCTCTTCATGCGATTCGACTTTAACCCTGTGATTCAAGAAGGAAACAGAACAAACAAAATGTTGGTTGTAATGCTGTGATACAAATAGCCCTTTTTTAAACACCATGATGGCTTTAGGTTTGCAGTGGTCGCTTTCAGATGGGAGCTGCGATTTTTTAATAACCGCTAGAGGGCAGCACATTCCTTAACATCACCTCAGTGACCTCCAAGCAGCCAAAAATCACAGGAGATGTTTGTATTTTGTAACATTTTTCTATATCCTGCCTTTAATTTGAAGGACAGTAACTAATAAAAACAGACGCGGAGATGTTCCTGAGGGAGAACGAGCAGATCTGAGATCTGTGGACTGTTAAAACACTAATTTTTCTAACTCTAATCATCGCTTTACAGTTCTGACACAATGTGGAAATATGATTTTGTGTGTGTGTGTGTATAAAAAGTGTTTGATTAATTTTATATGTTTGTAATTTATTTGTACTAAGAACAATTTGTGGATTAAAGAGTAAACAAATAGTTTATTATTGTAAAGATTTGGCTGTTTCAGGGTGTTTTTGACACTTTTTTCTTGTATTCATTCAGTGACTGTAATGTTGAGCTCCAACTTTATTACTAATATACTTAAGTACAGAAACTGCACACGCATGAAGGAAAACGTGCCTAAGGTGTAAAAATGTGCACTTAACTCTGCAGCCTATCATGAAGCATTATGACGCTTCAAATCTGTAAACTGATCAAATCAACGAAGCACTGTTTGAATGGTTACAGTCGAGGCAGAATATGAAGATTTAATATTAGCCCTGTTTGTATTTGTATTGATAACGTCGATCAGCCGTTTTCCTATTGGAATGTTTTTGGCAGCTTTGTGGTTGTAGTGAAGACGAATGAAGTTTTTTAAAGATTTCATCTGTATTCCATGAAATTGTGCGTATTACACCATTTGTCTTGATAAATAGTTTCTATCAAATCCAAATTCAGAAACGAACACGCCTCTTACTGTTTTTATTTTGTGTGTTTCTGGCTTTTAATTCCAAGTACAACTCTTATCAACGCTGCAAGGACATATTTGTGGCTGGCACTGTTAAAGTTTTTCAGGATGCAGTTGTAGAAAAAAAAAAAAAAAGAAAGCTCAGACTAATATCTGACAGCAACATCATGTGCTTTGTATCATCATGGTTAACTGTAACAAAATGTTTTATTTTCTTGTTTTGTCAGAAGTGCTTTTTGTAAGTGAATCTCCTGGTATAATTTGTATAACATCGCTGTTTATTGTGACATTAAAGACGAGAGAAATATGTGACGTGTGTTTATGACTACTGCTGTTCTTGTAACTTTCTAAAAATGGTTTAGTACATATATTGCCAACAAAAGAACAAACATGTGAGCAATACTATGCTAAATGTCCCAACTGATCACTTGGGTGGTCCTGAAAAGGCCCACAGGCCTTATATTGACAACCTCGTATTATTCTGTTGAGGCGCTCAAACTCACTCAGATTAAAGACAGAATCAGATTTTTAGCTAATGGAAATGTATTTATGTGATTCAAATTTTATACTTTCTTATATTTGTGACTACAGATTCGTGAATTTTTAGAAACTTCCCATTTTGTGTACTTTTTGTAATTCTGCATATTTTGTGCCTTTTTTAATCTGAGCATGCATCGATAAGTTCAGCTCATTCAGGAGATGGGTGCTGTGGTTTGTATTTTATCTTGTACTTTTCAAAAGTATTTAACTGTATTTAAAATATATTCCCTTTATAGAAATACAAATAGATCAGTTCCATTTAAAAACGTTCTCAGAAGTCTGCTTCAGCAAACTGGCTCTGTGTTGGATGTTTACTAGTATCCCTTTGCTATTTTAGCCTTTAGTTACTTTCAGCTAGTCTTTTAACACCTTTAGCAAGCCTTTAGCTTCTTTTGCTTTTGGATAATATTTTGCCACTTTTAGATTCTGGCTACCAAACTATGAAAAAGGTAGGTAAAATCTAAAAGTAGCATAAAGCTCCCAACAATCTAAATATAGCAACGAGCTAGCTCAAAGCTGGAAGAAGACAATAGACGTTCAGCTGTTTAGATTTTTATTATTATATCATACACACACACACACACACATACATATATATATAATATTTTAAATATATATATTATATATGTATATATCATCAACATTAAAATAAAAAAACATTTGAAATATATCAGTCTGTGTGTAATGAATATAATAGACGAGTTTCACTTTTTGAATGGAATTACTGAAATAAATCAACTTTTCATATTATTCCATTTTTCCGAGCAGCACCTGTAACAACGTGTCTACATCAAGACAGTCGACAACTTCTCTCGTGACTTTGAAAGTCCAAGTCATTGGACGTTTTATTTCTTTTCATTGGCGGAAACAGGCTGATGGTTTTCCACCTCGGTGTTTGCGCTGTGAGGAGGAGGTGGAGGAGGTGGAGGAGGAGGTCTGGGGCCTCTTCCTCCAATCAGCCTCTCCGTGCAGGACTCACGCTCTCGCGCGCTCTGATCCTCCATCGTCCACCCAGCCGCAGCTGCTCGCAGTGATGATGAGGATGAGGAGGAAGGTCGCGCCTGCTCCTCGCGGGCCTTCCGCCATCTTCCGTCTGATGGCGGACGTTGCTGCGTGGAGGAGCGTGTTTCCGCGCGCCGTCCTCGTGCCTCTCCGACCTCCATCCTCTAATTAAAAGGACGTCACGTGCAGCCGAGGACAGGTGTCATGGTGGAGGCAGGCAGCAGCCTGCGGAGCTCGGATTAGTTCTCGAGGGTTCACGTTGTTCTCATTTCTCCAGTGTGGCTCGTCAGCGTCAGTTTAAAGGTAAGATGTGCCTTCACACATTTATTGATTCTGCATCTGTCTGTAAACAAATAAATTCAGCAGCTGTCTGCCTGCCTGTCTGTCTGCCTGCCTGCAGAGTCCACAGCCATGGGTGAGGAGAGGAGCCTCACCCTGCAGGTCCAGAGTGTGGAGAGGAGCCTGCACTTCCTCGGGCAGGAGCACCTCTCTCTGCTCCATGGCCTCCACATGGAGGTCCTGTCCCTGCAGAAACGCTGCTCAGGTGAGGAGAACACCTGCTCCAGATGTGCAGGAGGCAGGCACAGCACCTCACCTGTTTGAGATAAACAGACAAAGTAGGCTTCAGTTTCAGCACATTTAGGGGAATGCATATCACTCAGAGCACGTGCTGTGGATGGTCTTCAGCTGCTGCTACATGTTCGCCAAACGGCTGTAAAATAGACTGAAGTTGATTAACTGTGACAGCCATCTTGAATTTGATGACTGATGTACTACAGCTTGATCTAAATCTGTGGTGGTTGATGAAATATTTTGATAACAGGAACACACATGGGCAATTACACTATCACCCACTGTTTGGCAGTGTTGTGTTTACAATGTTGTACTGTAAATTGTCATGATTATTGTCCTCGTGGGCTTGCCTTAGAATAGACGGATGTGACATACATCCAGTGTATATGCTACATATGGCAATAAACAGACCCAAGCTCGTGAAGCAGTGATAATTATCTTTATTGAGACGAAGTACAAAATATGGTGTCAGAAGTGGGATCAGAAGTGGGAAACCAGTGAAGTGCAGAGGAAAATTATAGCACTACTTCGCAAGATATCTAAAAACTGTACATTGTTCTAACGTCCAGCTTATTGCTATAAATCATAAAAGCTTCTGAATATTTTATGAATTTTTTTTTGTTGATTAAAAAACTCTTCGGCTCATCCTCTTTAAAGCGTTGTCTGTTTTAGCTTTTGTTGATCTGCAGTGCCCTTCTTGTTGACCTTTCACTCTCGGAGGACTTACTAAGGCTTCAAATAATTGAAAAACAATCCTTTTTTTTTTTCTATAATATATTATTATTTTGATCAGATCCATCGAGCTTCCAGACATTTTTATGGCTTCTATCTAGTCTGAGTTATTTAAAATCTTAAAATTTGTGTTAAAATTTACTAAAATGTGGGAAAATCTACTTTAAAATCTAATAAAAACAAGGAACACTGAATTGCCTCGGGGCCTTTGTTTGTGCACATCAGTCGAATGCAGACAGTAACTACATTATGATGTCATGCTGTTAAGTCACTTCCTGTTTGGGGAACAATGGATGCCCCTTTCGTTTCGTCAAATGCTTCCAGGGAGGTTATATTCAGTCACATTTATACATTTGTAGGTGGTTTTCTCACTCTTTTCTTGACTCTAAATCTAAGCGTGATCGTAAATCAAAGCCCTGCAATCAGTTTTGTCCCCACAAAGATACGCATGCAGTTTGTCAGACAGTAGATCCCCACACAAATGTGTGCAGATTGTCCCCGAAGAGGATTTAATTCAAATTAAATGGATTGTGGTGCAGAAACACAGATGAGAGGAGGAGAGCGGGGGTGTGTGTGTGGGGGGGGGAGGGGGGGTATTAATGGCTCAGTGCCAGTGTTGTACTGAAAACAAAGCCCCCCCCCCCACCACCAAAAAAAAAAATCGTTCTGTGGCGCCCATGACTGATCGGGACAGCACCATCCTGACTGACCACTTCCTGTTTCCGGCTCCATGTTTATCTTCGAGGCATCAGACATCATCTTCTCCTGAGAAACAAGGATTTGAGAACAAACTTCCAGACTGACGAGATTTATTTAATAATTTCTCACACACACACACGCATACAATCAATTTCTCATAGATGATGGGGAAAAATGGCGTTATGGTCATTTTGGTCAAACATTGTCAAAGACGTTATCTATTAATGTTCAAGATATAGTATGTGTTGGGTATGACTCTCAGCTACCACCATGTCAGATTTTAGCTCAATGCATAAAAGTTTCACTGAGTTGTAGCCAAAGTTCCCTGTAATTTTTCTTGTGTCTGGGCAAACACACAAGCTCCCTGAGCGCACTGAGGACCACTGTGAGCAACATCAGATGTGCCCGCTGTGGTCACACACCAGTATCACACCTGTTCAAAACCTGGGATCATAGCAAGTTTAATGGCTTATTAAAAGAATCAAATTACAGCAGCAATTTCCATTAGTTTACTTTTAATATAAGTGATCTGGCTCACTTGAATTAAAAAGACAATCTTGTTCATGTGATGCGTAGTATGTTATATGAGAAAGTCCTGCTTCGGTCTGGGTGAGGGTCCGGTTGTGGATTGAGTGAGGGTCCTGCTCCGGAAGATGGTTACTAACACAGTGGTGTCAATAAAGTAGATGCCATTTCCTGCATTCTGGTGTATTTAACGGGCTGTTTAACATTTAGTTTTGCCTACATAAGTAACACTTGATTCAATAACTATTATAGAGTTAATGGCACAACAAGAAGTAGCCTGACCAACAGCTCCCCTTGTGTGAATAGAGCATACTCCACTTCTCTCACGCATCCTAGCCAGAGGAAGGACAGTGGGTATACTGGTAGAAGGATATTAGAAATGCAGCTGCCAGGGATAAGACAAAGAAGAAGGTCAAAGAGGAGATATATGGATGCAGTTAGAAGACAGAGGTAGTTGGAGTGAGGACAGAGGATGCAGAGGACAGAGTGACATGGAGGAGGATGACTCAATGTGGAGACCCCTGAAGAGGGAAAAGCCAAAAGAAGAAGAATTTTAATTGGTTGTGTAATGTAAAATTTACTCTTACATACTGAATTTCACTGTGAGTTCTTGCCCTGTGTGTCGCTCTGTGGCATGAAAACATCCACTGCAGAAACTATTTGAAGTTATTAGCAGCTTAGACTTTTATTTCCCCCTTTCTTCTTTGCCTTAATGTTGGTCGATAAGGCATAAATGCTGCCTCAGGTAACACCGTGAGCATCACTACCTCCACCATTACAGCCATGTTTGTTTGATTGTCCAAGGTTAGCCCACCATGGGGTACATTTCCTCATGGGTGGAGCGATCTTACCGTTCACATAAAATATTTGATAATGTTCTTATAGAAACAATTCCTGAATGTTGTTCATACCGTGTTAATGCTACATGTTTGTCTCTTGACCCTACAACTGGACATGTCCAAACCATCTCAGTCTGGTCTCTAACTTTATCTCCCAGTTGTTCAACCTGTGCTGTACCTCTGATGATCTCATTCCTAATCTGATCCATCCTTGTCACTCCTAAGAAGAACCTCAACTTCTTCATGTCTGCCACTTCCACTTCTTTCTCTTTTTTTCAGTGCCACTGTTGTTTGTAGCTACTTAGCTTCTTCTGACGTAGTGCCGAAACTCCAGAAGTTGTTGAATGGCTGGAATGAAAGTTCGCCTGTGATTTCATTGGTTGAATTTTTTTACCTCTTCGTAAACTTCGGTTGTCGCTACTCAAATCATGCGACACAGGTCTGTTTTGACCGGGGGGGATTCCTTCCCACTGCTCAACAAAGACATTCTTGTGTGCAGAGAATGTGCGAGCAGTGCACGATTGCATTGGTTATAGCCATTTTAAGTTGGTTGTAGTTAGTTAGCTGTGGCAGTCATCTTATTTGGTGTATTTGTTCATCTTTGAGATTTTCAATAAAATCCGTGCAGAGGTTCATGAGATATTTTGCCAACAGATATAAATGAACAGAGAAACAGTCAGTGGGCGGGGTTTAACCTGCAGGTGAAAAATTACGTCGCACTCGCTGAAAACGCGTCCGCTGCTTACTGCTGTGTTTTCAAACATACTCCTGTACGATACTGTACAAACGTTTATTACCTCCCGTTTTTTTTCTCTCCCGCCACCATGAAAGAGAAGCAGTCGAGTCTGTACAAGTGTCTGCTTGTCTGTTAGCAAAATATCTTGTGAAACACTGAACAAATATTGAACCTTGCAGAAAGTAATCATGCTTTGCTCTGCCACAACTGATTAACTTTTGTAGTCGACCTAATTCAAGATGGCCGCCACAGCTGATCAACATTAGCTAAGTCATCGTTGCAGGTACTGAGCTAGAATTTTTCGTGGTAGTAGCTGAGAGTTGTCCTTAACACGTCATTAACAAGGTTAAATCTCTGGTGTGAAGGGCAGCGGGTGATATGCATTCCTTCATGGAGTTAAGTTCTTTCAGCTGTGTGAAGGTTTTTTGGAGAACTTTGGCTGCTTTCTTTTAAAACCCTTTTTTTTCTGTCTCGTCCTTGTCCCTGACTGTGACGACACATGCGGATGAGCGAATCTAAATAACTAGAGGAGATTCTTTTAGTTTTTAGTGTACTGATAAAAAAAAAAGCGTCATAACTCGAGGTAGACGGGCTGATCTTCAGGTAAGATGGACGCTCGCTGCCGTCTCACTCGTCTTGAAGGACACAGTAAGGTTATGAAGATAAGCTGCTTCTTTTGTCCACCTCTGTTATTGTTCTGCTTCCTGGTTTCCTTGTCAGCAGAAAGCCTCCTGGGCTGCTGTCTCCTTCAGCTTTTCCTCCCATATTATATTTGTATTTTGTGTGTGTGTGTGTGTGTGTGTGTGTGTGTGTGTGTGTGTGTGTGTGTGTGTGTGTGTGTGTGTGTGTA